TCCCTATCTACTACTTCAAATTTTTGAAATTTCCAAGAGTTTTCCGCCCGTAATTCAATATATGTGAAATTTTCACCGACCTTGTCGTTGTCATCGACCACATCGATTAACCGGTGCTGTTACTGCTGCTGCTGCTGCCGCTGCTGCTGATATTGTTGCTGTTGCTGGTGCTGCTGCTGTTGCTAATGCTGCTGCTGGTGATGCTGTTGATGAAGATCTGCCGAATGGTTCTGAGTTGGTGTAAATAATGATCTTCGGGATGTTCTTCTTCTTCTTCACATGAAATGCCTCCTCCTATTTGTACTGAAAATGGGAAACAAAAAATATTAATAATAAATATTTTAATTATACTCGATCTTTTTTATGTTAGCGAATAGATCCAGCATACCGAAGATTACCAGAGATATCGAAGGTATCTCTTACCTTGAGCAGCTTTCCTCTTCACTTTTACAGAGCTTTTACAGAGCGTGTTAATCTAGCAAGAAATATTTAATTATAAATTTATCGGAAAGAATAAATTATTTTAAAATTTAAAATAATATTAAATTTACCTTCGTAATTTTCTAGAGAATAGTCCGTCCGTGTTTCGCACTGATGGAAAACCTCTCTTTTTCTAAAATCTCATCGCACATTTGCTCAAAGGTTCTTTTCCTGTTTTCATTTTCTTCAGCTTCGTCATCGGCTTCTTCTTCGTCATCGTCATCTTCTTCTTCTCCTTCTCCATCTTGTTTTTTTTTTCATTAACTTTTTCTTCTCCTTCTTCATCTACATCTTCTTGTTCTTCTTGGTTTTTCCCCTCATTTTCTTCTTCCTCATATTCGGATTCATCCAAGTCGTTTGTTTGTACTAAAAAAGAAACATCGTTATTATTATTGTTATTATTATTATTATCTTTTTTTCAAGAATTAGCTAATACGAGTTTTATAACTTTTATTATTTTAAATAATTACTCACGCGGTGTGTAAATTTCGGTGTCGGCTTCGCTCACGTCTACTCATAATCGATATTTTCTTCCGCATCTGAAACAAAATTAAGCTTTTAGTAATTAAGCTTTTATTAATTCGATAGTCAGTGAGCTAATTTTGAAAGCAATACTTGCTATTTTTTTACCTGAAACTAGATCAACTATTGGGATACCCTCCTCCTCAGGCTGCGCGTCTATCCGCATTCGCACTCGTCCTAAAAATTCGATATTTAAATTTAAAAATCTGAAAATTTAGAAATCTAGATTTTTAATTATATCAATTTTTTATTATTTTACTCACGTTCGTAGTAAAACGTTTCTACTCACGTATTATTTTACTTCTTTCACCTCATCTTCGGCGGGGCGTCTCAATTCCCGTGATTGATACGGATGTACAACCGCGATGTTATCTCTCGCTTAAAAAAAATATTTAAATTAGAATTTTTTATACTTACATATTCTAATTTCAATTACCTTAAAAATAAATATTTACCTTCTCCGGTGCACGTTGTAAAAAAAGCGATATGTCCGTCAACATCATCCTCCCCCACACCAGCCATCGCACCAATTATATATTTTTTTACAATATTTAAAAGTCTTGAAATGCTCTAATCTGAACATAATGCTCAATAGAGTTTTCGAGCACTCCGGTACGAATTTTGCAAACGTGATATAATTTATTTCTTCTTCATTTGTTAATGTTGAAATATAAGCACTCGCGTTTATCGTCGGGTTGATATTCGCGCGCACGATAAAAAATTTTCTTAATTTTTCACAGAGTGCCATTTTTTCACTTTTTCACTATTTTAAAATATTAAGATAGCGAACGAATCAGTAATGTAAAAACCGGCCAAGTCACCCCCGAGAAAGTATAATCTCGGAAATAGACCTTTTTTATAACGCGCGGTATTTATACTAGAAAATTTTACCCGCACACTCCGAAAAGAGGGTGACACGTAAAAAAATACAGCGCCATTGGACAAGTCAAAATTTTCCTTAATACAGGTTACACCTCTTCTATTCTCTCATAGCTAAAACATAGCTAAAAGAAAACGAATTCCCCATTCAAGAAACATCTCTAATTCCCTCCTTTTTTATTTTGTAATTTCTAGGTTTATTAATTTAAAAAATATTTTGCGAAAAAGTTTTAAAGTCTAGAAAATGTAAAGATTTTATATTTAAAAGATTTTATAATTTTATAATTTAAAATTTTAAAATTTTGAAATCTTTTAAATTTTTTAATTTAAAAATTTTTAAATTTTATAATTTTTCATTTGCCCATCTGCGCGCGCAGTTCTTTTTCTCAATAGATAAGCCAACGAGCTCAACGAATTCGTTAGCCAGTTCATTCGAATGCCATCTTTCGAGGTTTCAAGTTCGTAAATCCGAAGTAATCTTTTACTTCTCATTTTAACGCTTGTGATTATTAGTTACATTTGAGAAAAAAACAGGAACAATGATGAACCGAAAAGCTGTTCCCGATACCGAGAAACGCGATACTCCGAAGACGAGCAATGTCCTCGATTCCGAGAAGCGCAAATACATCTACGATATTCCGAAGGGAAATTGTAACGAGGAACGAAATGATAAGTGCCATATGATGCTCTCGACAACATATAGACTCAACATCTCTCACATGAAAAGGATACACGTTGGATTACAAACGACAAACGAAAGAGTTTTCGAATGCCATTGGTTAAATTAACCGGTAATTATGCAGAGGGAATTTATTTCGACTGATTCCTGGCAACAATTCCTAAACAACATGGGGCTTATCGATGAGTATTTAAACGTTAACAATAAATCGAAACTAGATCCTATCATTGTCAAAAATATTGCGATCAACTTTACATCGAGTAAGATATCTAATTCTAGAAAACGTCTAAAATATATGCTACAAGAAATATATAAAATATACGCTATTAGAAATATTATTTATTCAGGTTATTATATTGAAAAACGATCAAATGTAAGAGTATTTTATATGATATATTAAATACTGTGCACTTTTTTGATCACTAGTCCCATGAATATTTGTACACTGAAATCATTTGCCTCGCCATTTTTTATCAATCCGTTGTAGATGTAGAGCTCGTAAGCTCATTGAGAAATATTAAGTTTGGAGTTTATCGAACATAGACCAAGCTGTCTCAAAAGACTTAAGCCACACAAACCTGTTAAAAAGAAATTATATGTCTATATTCGTATTATTTAAAATAAAGATTGACTGTAAAAAAATTTTCTATTATGACACATTTTTATATATCAGAGATCTATAAATTCTATTACAGAATAAAATTGTAATGTAAATTTTATGCATTTACTTAAATATGTATGTAAGGATCAGGCCGAGTTGTTAAATATTTGTTGTTGTTAAATATTTCACCAATATGTTCAATACACCACAGCACAAAACATGGAGATGAGATTCGAGACCTGGTCCTTGCCCACTATCACCATTGTATGACTGCAATTATCATAATATGAGTCATCTATTAAACACTAACATTAAAAGAAGATAAAACTAAATGAAATAATGTTTATGAAACTTGTGATAATAATTTGATGTAATAAATGTTTACAATGCTTCTTAAAATATAGTCTATAGCACTTGGATATATCCACATCTAACCAGTCATCTAAAATCGCTGATACACATAAGATGGAATAGAGGAATCTCATGTCGCTTTCGCATTCGATAACCATGACCGTGAAAGATCCATTTTGATTCTGACAAGCTCGTCGACATTCGACATTCCCTCGACGATGGATTGCCTATCCATTCAATTCAGATCATCACTAAGAATCAAAAGGGTGATCAGGAGAAGCATTTAGTCTCCAATCTTGAATAAAAATTTAATCAAAAAAAAGAATCGTCCAACAACATCTATAGTTATAGTATGTACATAGAATAAATATTTTCCATTTTACAAAAATATTAGTTACTTATCTGATATTTATCCCTTCTCCATTTGTTTCTTCTTATTTTTCTTTTACAATATATTTTATATTTACGGTTAGAAAATATGCACGTCATATACATATGCATATACACACATGTCAAAAAGTCTTCCGCAACATACAAATTACTATTTACACATCAATCCACAAAAATTAAATTGTGTTGTCTAAGGATTTTTGTTACTACCAACATTACCCTCTTTTTTTATGGAAATTGTGTAACCACAGAATTTAGTGCACGAGTTCACTGAACTGGCTGCACTGGGTTTAGAATTAGTGCAAGCAGTGGGCATTAAACGAAATTTAATCAGTAGCGATAATTTTGAACACCATAAGATATTAATCAGTAACTATAAAAGTAGAAATTTTCTTACAAGGAGATGGCAAGAATTGCGAAATACAAGTTGAATGAGCTACAGTTCATTCGAAAGGGGTGGTCGAGAGTATAAAGTGTAAAAGGGTTTGAGTGGTCTTAGTTTCGGAGAAATTTGCATACAAAGTTAGACGTTTTCGGCTAGCTGTACGATAAGTATTATGAATAGCTCTCACAAAGCGTGAAGCGTTAGTTGGATAGTCTAAAGCCCGCGCGTGTAATCTTTTTTTTCTGTGGCGAGTTCGAGATCTCGCAGTGACAACTTTTTTTTTTAATAACGACTATATTTTATCGACAAAATTAATTATTGTTATTATTTATAATAAAATATTAATAATTATACATTATTATTATATGTATTAAAAAATAACGACAATTTTTATATATATTAATATTATATATTAATGTTTATTTTTTTTATTTATTAAAAAATTCGGACATTGCAGCACAATGTTGTAGGTGAAAATTGAAATAAAAACATAATTTAAAAAATTTTGCGCTTATTTGCCGACTTTGACCAAACAAATTGTATCATATTTTTGTCAGGTAGTGTATATTACAAACATTCTTCAACAGATATTTCACAAAATTGAATTCTGGGATTGCATATGATAGAGTTGCTGACGCTTTTGAGTATACGATTCCTCGCACGTCATTCTTTCTTATTCCATATGTCAGGGACATATCCGAAAATTTCGTAACAATTACTAGAAAATACAATCTGAAATTAGGTTATCGATTAACGAATCCCTTGAATAGATTCATTGAACCGACAAAGACCTATTAGATTCGATGATACACTCGAAAGTGGTTTATAGAATCAATTGCAAGGATTGCGAGGCTACCTATGTCGGACAAACCAAACGACAACTCAAAACTGGAATAAATGAACATATTCGTGATGTTACGTCGTGACGACTGCATGATTCTTCTCTTTCGGGTATCTGTTATTAGAATTTAATTAAGCGGATAAACGAGTGACGCATGTTCTGTTACTCTGTTAGATCGCGACGGTTACGCAACTGATCTCTTCCGGAGGTCGGTTTCTAGAATTCGGTTAAGCGGATAATCCCTATTATCTTAATCGCGGAAGTACACCGATGTTACATCTTGACGACTGCATGATTCTTCTCTTTCGGATATCAGTTATTAGAATTTAGTTAAGCAGATAAACGGATGACACGTGTTCTGTTACGATCGCGACGGCTACGCAACTGATCTCTTCCGGGAGTCGGTTACTAAGAATTTGGCTAAGCGGATAATCCTTATTATCCTAATCGCGGAGAAACAATACGTGTACAGATGTTTTCCTCAACGAAATCATATATATATAGTGCCCTTAAAGGCACGGAATACACACTCTCTGCTACGTCCTTTTTTTTACACGGTCGGAACATTTCAGTTTATCAATTTGTCGATAATTCAGTTTGTCAATAATTCAGTCGGTGTCAGTCGAAAACAATCAACAAGAACAAGTGATCAAGTTTCCTGATGACACCATTACCGCCTTCATCTCGCAGGTCTCAACTCTCCAGAGTAAAAGTAAGTTTAATTACACATAAAAAATTCCCTAATAATAGTTTTCGGGTCTCTTCTCCTTATACTTTCTCGTTCCTCCCTTACATCCTTTCTATCCTCTGCCGTTCTCCTTACACGTCTACTCCCTTTTTCTTTTTCTTTTCTCTTTCTTTCTTTGCTTGGGCCGTCGAACCTCTCGGGCTCCCTATGCGTTGCGGAGCACTCAGCAGGTTCATGGCCGCCGAATAATTCGGCAAAAAACTGCTTCTTCTCTGTTGGCTTCAGCTGTCGAATCTCTCGGGCTCCCTATGCGCTGCGGAGCACTCAGCAGGTTCATGGCTGTCGAGTAATTCGGGAAATCTATT